TCATTGACCAAGTCAACAATTTCAAAATTAACCATAAGTTGATATTGAAAATTATACACATTATTAACATGATCAGGTCTAAAATCTATTCCTGCAATAAGGAATCCCAACATATATAATAGATGTGATAGAATTCATGGACCATTTGTAGTTCATCAGTTTAATGAATTCAATACATAAAGCTCATCTACATGGAAACCTTTTGGGTGGGGGATCTTATTAATTACTAATATTAATATTTGAGTTATAATGACTAATCTACATATATTCTTATGAAACTTTGGGGTGGGAAGACAAAGAGAGAGATCCATGTTAAAATAAAATTACATTAAAAACTTTGTATGAAATTTTTTGTCATCCATTTCTTTGTGTAGATCTCCAAATGGATGGCTTAAGTTAAATGTTGATGGAGCATTATCTAAGATTCATTGCTCAAGGGTGGGAGTTGTGATTAGGGATGCTGCTGGTGAATTTGTTATGGATAGATCAAAGAAGTTCAATGCTCTTCTTGCTTTTCAAATCGAAGTTGAAGCATTGAAAGAAAGCCTATCATTTGCTTAAAGAGCTTGACATTTCTCAACTGTTTTTGGCAAGGGATTTTTAATTTAGAAGTCATTAATATTCTATTGGAGATCAATTTAAAACCTCTTTAGTGTATTCATCACACTATTGCTTCTTGCCAAAGTCTTAATAGAGAATGCCCTTAGATCACAATTAAACATGTTCCACAAATTTGTAATGTTGCTGCTCATACTGTTGATCATGCCTCTCTCACCATGTTCAAACTTGGTCATTTATCCCTTCCTTTCTCAATCCAATCATCTTGAGAGAGAACGTTTTGTAACGTTTGATTGGTTATAATTGAAACAACCTTTTGTGGCGTTCAAAAGAAAATATTAGATATTTTGTTGATATCATGAAATTGATGGAAATCGTTTTGGAAAAGATATTAAAAATAAGGGCATCAAAATCCAAATTAAAAAATGAGACTTTGATAATGAAATATGGAAGAAGAACCAGTTTTATGGATATTGACCATAATTTTTATGGATATTTGCTTGTTTGGTGATTTTTTTGGTTCTTTTATAATAAAAGTGAAATAAGCAATGTTTCAAATGATTGAAGACTATTGTGAACTATGATAGATCTCCTATTGAAAAACTGAAATAATGAAATAATTGATAACAATAAAACATAAAATTATCGAATGAAAATCACTAATAGCTTGTCATTAGGGTTAAGGTTTAAGAGTTATGACAAATGGAATATGTCACTATGATAATTATATATATACAATAGCAATTGTAGAGTTGGGTTAGGTTGCCTAAGGGGTCCACCCATCTAACTTGAAGTTAAATCAAATTGGAAATGCCAACCATAACCCTAACCCAATCATCAACCTGATCCAACCCAATTCAACTTTTTCAAGTTAGGTTAGGGTTGGGTTTGGGCTAACCTAACCAAGTTGCAGCCCTAATATTATGATGCATTTCCTGGTCCATTTGGTAGGTGAGGTCATGATAAGTGGATCAATGTAGTACCTTTAGATATTCCTCAATGAAGGTAATGTTAATATTTTAATAATTTAATTTTATTCTTTTTATAATATTTTTATAAGTATATTCTTTTTATACTAGAGGCACTAATTTAGTAGATATTTTATTCAAATGAGTCCATTTCATTATATTTGAAATAAAGAAAAACTAAAGTGAAAAAACAATTAATTATTATTTTTTTATGATTATATATTATCTATGTATATTTGTATATATCATATGAAATTTAATTGGACTTGGATGTTAATCGAATCAAATAGGTGAAAATCTACCTCCAATATAATCGAATTATGTAAATGGATGATCTAAATCCAAAATAATTGGATTTAGTATTGGACTTTCAAACTATTTTAGTTGGACAAATTTTGCCCCTTTGTGTTAATGCTTTTAGATTTGAATTTGAAGACAAATTTGATATTTTGTTTATTATTTTAAATGAGTTACATAAATGAATTGTAACTGAAATTTCATGGAGTGTTTAATTGGATATATTTATCTCTCTTTTATTTAACAATGAATTGTAATTGAAATTTAATGGAGTTTTAGCTAGATGTATTTCTCTCTTTTAATTAATAATGAATAAAATCATTGTTATTTGATCATCTATAAAAGCAGGTCCAATTGTCACTATTTAGAGGGTGTTTGGTTCCGTTTACATTTATTCAGTAAACGTTTTGTACTTGTGTGATTGCAAAACCGAGAAGCACATTTAATGAGGGCGTTTATGACACATAGGAGCCATTAGGCACCACATCAGCAAAATGCCAATAAACGCCTACCCATTTCAAGAAGCTTCAAAATGAAGCTTCCAGAAATGGGAGAGGCGCACAAAAACCGAAGTTTGCTTTTTCAAACTTTGATACGCACAAATGCAATTAATGAGGCATTTGTTGATGGGGCGCCTATGTGGCACTGTCAATAAACGTAAATAGAACCAAAAATATACATAATGATTTTAAAATGTGGATTTTGAGTGTGTCACCAAAATTTTGACTATGGTTTTTGGCAAGGTTTTAAAAACTGTCCCGGAAATGAAACTGCTTTGACCATCGGTTTTTGGGTGAGCGGTTCAACCATCTAGGTCTAATGGTTTAATCCACAACATTAAATTTTTGAGAAGTAAACCCCATAGTGCTCGTATTAGATTCATATTCTAATTTATAATTTTTGTTCTTGTGTTCCATTAGAATCGACGTTTAAAACTTAAAAGCCTATGATGACCCATTAATTGTATTAGGAGATAGGGATTTAGGAGGAGAGATAAAAGGTGAGATGTGAGAGGTGAAAGGTGACAAAGAGAAAGTGTGTCAGAATAGTAGAATAGAATAGGGGGTAGGGAGAGAGAGAGAGAGAGAGAGAGAGAGAGAGAGAGAGAGAGAAACATTAGTTGACCAAAACTCGCAAACTGCTGCCTAGGCCAAATGGTTTAACAGTTTAACTACCCGGGTCAATGGTTATTAACAAAGTCAATGTTTTTCATAAAAAGCGGCCCAACCCAAAATCGGACCTAGAACTATGACAAGTTCCCAAGTCGAATGGTCCAATCCAATTTGGTTTTTAAAATTGTGGTTTTTTGTTAGTTTTTCCATTGGTTTATAAGTAGTTTCTACCCAATCTTAAGATGTTTGAGAGGGTCTCATCTGAAATATCCATTTCAAAAAGTTAATTTTTTTCTAAAAGAAATTTTCAGATAGGCTTTAAAAATTAATTTCTAAGATTTTGAGTATCCCATATTTGTGTGCTCCAATGATTCGTGGCATAATTAATAAGAAAGCTCCAAATAACATCACAACTAAAATTAAGAAGAAAAGTTAGGGTTGGAAATTGAAAACTCCTTTTAAAGATGAAAGAGCTATCTTTATCAAATACGTTTTGAATGTGGTTCTTCTTTACAAGGCACAAACTACCCAGTCAATATGGTCTCTTGGTGGTTGTAGGTGAGAGACTTGGAATCAAATCCCACCTGCACCTTGGTTGGGGGGTTATGGGTATAGGAGATGGGCCACCCCTATTGTGTAGCCCAATGAAGCCAAAAAAGAAAAAAGAAAAAAATAAAATGTAATTATAATTGTATAAGAGGACATAAATGGAATTTTTTTATGCATCTTAAATAACTATACAACATGTTTGATACTTTTTTTTGATTACTTACAACATGTCTAAATAGACATCAATAAATTACAGAACATAATGAATTGTATAGAGTATTTAGTTGGACAAATTTAACTAGGTAATATAATTAGATGTTGATTTGTAGATGAATTACAATTTACTTGAAATCTATAGCAAGTGGCAAATTGGCAATAAATCTTTAAGGCTTTTAGACTTTTTTCTTGACTTAAAATACCCATCTCTTTAAATTTGGTCTCTCTCTCTCTCTCTCTCTTTCTCTCTCCCTCTCTCTCTCTCTATATATATATAGATACTTAACATTTTGTTCAAGAAACTTAAATGGGTGAAAATGTGATTCAACCATTAAATAAACAATACAAATTATGGTAGATTGATAATCCCACTACGGGTGTTGATTTTCATTTTCCAACAAGCAAGTCATTCATTTATGAAGTGTGAGTCATTTGTCCTTGATCAAGATTCAAAGACATAGGCACATGAGTATGCTTTTTTCACCTATGATGAACTGTTCATCTTATTTCTGGGGTAGTTTTCCATATTTTTAATTACACCAAATAAGATATAATGCTCTAATTCTTATACAAATTAATTTATATGTAGAGTATATGAAACTTTCTCTCAATAGACCTTCATCATCTTTGCATTCTACAGTTTTTATTGACACACATAGTTATGATTGTTGAACTTAGAGCTTTAGTACATAGCATCAAACTTAAAAACACAAACACACATTATATTGGAATATGCATATGATATTCTACGATATGCATGGTATGAATTGCAAGGGACACTTGAATATATCAACCATGAGGTAATGGAAATCTAAAGTGAAAATGATTAATCTATTGACAAGCTAGCCAACAATGTATTTGTGTCAATGGCACTTAATGTCTTTTTAGACTACTCAATTCTACTACAAGAGTTTTAAGCTACAACTATGCCAGTGTAGAACCTAACTTTTCAAATTATGAGTTTAATTGATTTGGGATAAGGATTGATCTCAAGTCTATATCTGATCTATATCTTCAAGGGGTAAGGGTTTTATGTGCCCCTAACATAGGTTATTTTAAACAATTAATAATAAATTTATGATTTCCCTTCCATTGGGAGTAAGATTTGGGGTAAAAATAGAAAGCTCTTAAGCAAATTAGTCAGGGCCATATACTATGAAAATTTTCACTGATGGTTTGACAACCATGTAAGTAATCAATATTGCAACATAGCCAAGTTATGAGAGGTAAAGAGCAGGTACTCTTAATAAAATATTGGAATGAGAGGAAATAAATATAAGAAAGGGCATTAGAGGAAAACCTTAAGTTCTTATTTGTTTCATAAACCTTTTGATGCAACTGTTCAAGTTGATTTTGTAGTTCCTGCACAAAAAAAGAAAAAAAAAAAAAAGAATGGGTATAACGAAGTAAAAGCCATGGTGATTATCAATATAAATTAAGGAGCATACCTGAATTTTGCATTTCCTAAAAAAGAAAACATAGAATCAACATAAGAGATTAAGCCTATGAAATTCGTATATGAAATCAATTCCATGATTTAGATATTCAAAATCATACCCATCAACTGAAAATATCTTTAGATCTATGTTTTGATTATCACCCTTGTACATCTTCTTTATTATCTACAATGAATATGATAAGAGGGAAAAATTACAAAAGAAAATACAACAAAACCAAAGGCTAACTAATATATTTTAATAAAAAAATTTAATAAAGCTGGATTTTCATGTTATATCTTACTTCAAGGGTCCCAGCCTGCCTACAACAATGACAAACATATCACAATTAGTAGCAAGGAAATCTTTCAATTTTATTCAATAAATACAAGAATTTAAGCATATGTTCTCTTTTTTTCTTTCTTTTGTTACTTTTTCATCCTTACCTGTGCAATCTTTCTTCAAGAGTCATGTTTGAAAGTTTTTGAACAACTGAACTTAAGTCACTGAAAAAATGTAAGTAAAAAGCTTCTAGTAAATCAAATACCAGAATAATGTTTCATATAATTAAACAAAAAAAGGTTGAATATTGAAAAATAAAAATTACTTTTTTTCTCCTGTAACCAATGTTGGACTTCCCGTAGGAGAGAACATCAAAAGCACAAGATCAACATCACACAAAATAGAGAGTTCATGTGCTTTCTTCATTAAACCTGCCTTGCGCTTCACATATGTGATCTTCCTTGATTTCATACTCTCCAATCTCCATATCTTCAATTTCTTTCTCCCCATCTCTTACAATTTCCCTAACTTCACAATCCTTCTATTTTAAAATACATATATACATTAAAATGCAAAGGTTACAGCTAGCTATTAAAGCTAAAATTTATTGCAGCAATTAAAGTTGTAGTTATTTGTCCAACAAGGATAATTAATGCAATAAACTCCCAAAACCCAAACTCATGAAGACCTAGATTCTAGCATAGATTTTCAAATTCTTTTTCCATTGTGCTTCAAATAATTTTGGTTTGATTCCTGAAAGTGAGTTGGTTTTAGAGAAACCGGCCCAAAATTAACAGCTTTGTTTGGGCATAATTTTGCATATACTCATTCCCAAATTAGGGTTAGGGCCTTAACTTCTGCCCCCTGTAATTTTTTTTTTCATTTGTTTAGGCTATGTTTGTTTCATTAGAAATTAAGGCTACAATTGACAATCCTTTTTTTTTGGGACTAGGAGTGGCAATGGGATGGGTTTGGGGCGGGGGATTATATTCTCTGTCTTCGACCCCAATCTGAAATTAACCCTATCCTTATCCCTGATTCCCATGGGGGGACAAAAGTTGTTCTCTATCTTTGATCCTTGATGGGAACGGATTCCTCGCAGGGAAGTTGGGTTCTCCATCTCCGATCCTCAAACCGGGAAAGTCAGGTCCCTGCCGGGGATGGAAAAATTGCCATTCCTATTTGAGATTTGAATTCTGAAAAACTTACTTTTCAGATGATGACATCTAAATCGGCAAATGTCAAAAATAACTTCACCAATTTCAAAAAATGATTCGAATTGCCATTGTTTATAAACTATTTCAAGCCCTAGAAGTTGATCGTTTTATTGGATGCAGTGCTCTCTTGTCCCTATTTTGGACACCATTGGGGACCACTATGGGCAATTTACACATTTTTTTTTTTATGTTTCCAGGGAGTTCGCTTGTAGGTGATCCATAGGTAATATTTCCACTTCTCCTCCCTCTCAGCTCTCATTTTTATCTCCCTCTTTTTACTATTTTTAATTAGGAAAATTCCCGATTACTACCCATTACTTTGGGTGTAGTGCCACTTTGGTCCTTAAACTTTAAAATGTGACAATTCAGTATCTGAACTTTCAAAATATGACAATCCAGTACCTGCTGTTAACTAGCTGCTAATCAGCTGTTAAGTGTCATTTGAAAAAGATACAAATGCCCTTTGAGTGACATCTAATTTTTTTATCAACCATCCAAACATTGAGAAAAAAATTAACTATCTCAAATCCTTGCCTCTTCTATTCAAGAAAGTTGGGGTCACCTGAATGCCCACTCAAATGTGACCCCGACTTTCTTGAATGGAAAAGTTAAGGATTTGATATGGGACTGTTAATTTTTTGTCAACATTTGGATGGTTGATAAAGAGAATTAGGTGACACTCAAAGGGCATTTGTGTTTTCTCAAATGTCACTTAACAACTGATTAATGGCAAATAATGGATTTACACATTTTAAAAGTTCAAATACTGAATTATTTGCATTTTAAAGTTTGGGGACCAAAGTGGCAATAGATCCAAAGTACAGGGTACTAATCGGAATTTTTCCCTTATATTAATGAAAACTATTTACTCATTTAATGTTTTAGTTATTTTAAGTCAACCAAATAAGTGATGCAACCAAACAGGTCCATAAGAATTGATATTATTATATTTTCTATTTAAAATTATATAGATGGTTTTAGAAAATTTCTTGACCAAAATACGCCTCTACTCTTAGCTTTTAAAACCTTATAACAGGACAACTTTGACTTTCTAATTAAATTAGCAAGATTGACACAAGTAAAGGGAGAATTATTTGTAGTGGAAAAAAATTAATTTTCATATATGTCTTTTCCCTTGAATCCTCTGGTGGTTAGAGAACAGGGTAAATTGTGGTTGATGGAGATGAAACATGTGAGTTCAATAATTTTACTGATTGAAGATGTGGAACTCATAGGTGTAATATCTACAGAAAGATGAAAGTTTTGTTACCTACAGTTCATCTGCTGATACCTTTTCTATGTCTCTTTGGGCTATAAAACCTACCTTTCGACAAACTCCAGCTGTCCTAGCTATAGGGAGGACAAGTTTGTCACAACTTTGATGGAAAGGAACTTTCAGGGGGGAAAACCTATAAAAACTAACATGAGCTTAAATTTTATTTCCATAATCTAAGTAAATGCTCTCTTGATTAGAAAATTAAACTTGAATTTTACTTAGTGATGGATCTCATATGTTTAAGGAGGGTCCTTGAAGATGTTCACAACAAGGGGTCTTTTCAAATTAATGTGATTTTTTTTTGTTGTGTGCTCCAAAAATGAATCAAATCCTTCTAGTCTGAAAATAAGTTGGTTCTTAAAACAAAAGCACAGGAAATATGTTCTTGGTTATGACTGATGTGTTATTTGTTTTCAAAGGTGAAGTTAAAAATTGTGTTCTTAAATTTCTGGTTCAAAGAGTATGTTTTCATCTGGTTATTTAGGTGAGAAACTTAGAAACAATCAACTGGTATCATAAAAGTTGTATACACTGGGCTGGGCTACCTATCACAATTGAACATGCCGGTGTTCACTGTGGGCCCCCATCTGGACCGAACACTGGCATGTTCAATCGTGATAGGTAGCCCAGCCCAGTGTGCATGATTTTGTCTCCGGTTAATCCAGACTCTTCAAATCATATAATATATGTACCACAAAAAATTGTTTTTGTTTTAAAAACGATCATTACATGAGTTGTTTTTTTAAACAAAACCAACTTATTTTTGCTTCTCAAAACCAAAATATACTTCAAAAAAATGTATTTATTATTTATTTTTGCTGAGACAATTTTAAAACAAAAATGAAAATGAAAACAAAAACATACACCTCTAAATCGAATTGAAACATGAAGAACAGTGTAAATTCCATCGTCAATTAAAAAAGAGATAGAGAGAAAAAAAATTCTAATCTGACATTGTGTTATACTCATCTTCAAAAACAAGAAACAAAAACAAAAAGCAAAAGCTTGAGATTTACACAACATTCACTGCAAACACAGTGCGAACGGAATGGATACCATCAGACCATGTCACATGGCCGAAGTTATAGCCCCGAGTTGCAGTCTTTCCATAGAAGGAGGCCTTGAAAGAAGCCTTGTGTGAGGCTCTTGAGAAGACAAGCCTCTCCGGCCACACCTTGACCAGCAACCCTTTTGGGGCATGCACCGTGGCCGTGTACATCGCGTTTGTCGATCCGACGTTGGTGACCGTTCTGGTCACCGTTCGAGCAGCTCGACGCCCATCCAGCTTGGTGATGGAGATGGAGGGATAGTTGAGATCAGTGATGAAGTCCTCCAAGGAGTTGGATGGGCAGCTGAAGTTGGTTCCAGACATGGAGCGTATGATCTTTTCTTTGTATCCATAGTAACAGAGGAAATACAGCAAGTCATCTGTTGATGTTTCGTATACTAAGCCTGGGTTCAGGGCACTAATTGGGTTTATCTCTCCTGATCCCATTTCGTGTGGATTCGCAAAGGAATCTGTGCTGTTCGTTAGGGGCTTCCCCATGTTGTTGGACGTAGTGGCTGCATTAGAGAAACAAATTTGTAAGGACCGGATGGTTGAACCGGTGAGCTTTTCATTGGGTTCCGGTTATTTGGAATTCGGATTTGGTCCTGACAAGACCGTATTCACATCGTTTGCACAGTCCCTTGCAGCCTTGCATTAATTGGGAATATCTTCCCCATGCATTAAAAAAAAAAAACATACAAATAATGCACGGCTGTAAAAGGCTGTGAAAACGGTGTGAGCATGGTCTTGTGAGCACTGAATCCAATCTCGGTTATTTGATGGTTTTCATGGGTTGGGCTGAATGATTTAATTGGCTATCCAGTTCAAGTTTGGTTGATAGATCCGGATGGTCGAACCGATGATCCAGAAACTTGGATGGTTGAATTTGATTGTTATATTGGCTGGTTGAACCATCAACCAATTGGTTAGCTTTCCGGGTCCCGGCTATTTGATGGACTGAATGATCTGACTACCCGGTTAAGTGGGAAAACCGTAACATTTGGTAGAAACTAAAGCGTCTGAATTGAAATGCAATTCAACAACTTCAGCCATTATCAAACAGCCAGCTCAAGGTCGATCTAAATGGTCCAACCGATGACCCAGAAACCCAGATGGTTGAATTTGATTGTTACAGTGGATAAACCGTTGATTGAACCATCAAACAGTGGTTCCAATTTGGGAAATAGAGAAAAGACGAGTAGGGATTTTTACCTGTTGTCATGAGAGCTGACTTGATCATGGAAGAAGTCCAGCCGGGATGAACTGATTTGATAAATGCTGCAGCACCTGCAACATGAGGGCAAGCCATGGAGGTCCCAGATTTCAGAGCAAACTTGGAAGGCTTCTTCCCCACTGGGACGCTTATTACATCGCTCCTGGGGATGATGGCCGCTAGAATCCCTATTCCTGGAGCTGTTACATCTGGCTGCATGCGTTGCCAATAAAATTACATTACAATTGTAATTCCTAATCTTCTGGTTCTGGATGTCTTGGTTCACCCAGTCCTAACCCGGCCAAGCCAATTGCAATTCCAGAATACCTCCCTCCAAAACAAAAAGGGTCCAAGCAAAACTAACTTATGGTTGTCCTGTCAATGTAGGGGATGCAACTTGGGTGGGTCCAACCTGAGCCCGGACTGACCCAGTCCAAAAATTTGCATGGATTGAGTTTGGATTTTTTGTTCTCAGGCTGCATTTGGGTACAAAACTTGAGGGTTTTTTATTTGTTTAACTGGGCCTAGGCTTAGTCATTTGTTAGCTTGATCCTGGTCCAACCTTATCTCAACCCTAATCCAATCCAAGCTCTGTACTATATGCATACATTCATACATATACACATGCACATGTATGTCAAACTTCGGCATGGGCTGATTGATCAATCTGAGCTCAGACTTGGTCTGAGTCCAACCCAATTGCATCAAATTTTAACATGAGCTGTGCCCGAATTGTACAGATTAGGCTTAACCTCAAGTTTGGTTTGGGCTTGGACCTCGGGCATAATTCTTAGGGTTGGAGCCAACTTTTGTTGACAAGACTCAGTTTGGAAGGAGTATAAATACAAACTTGTAGAATGCAAAACCTTATATTTTGTATTATTTTTTATGCACTTGTATTTGTATTCTACCAAGAGAGAGAAAGAGACCTTGAGAATGGTTTCTGTGATTCCTCCAGGACCTCGAGATGAGAAATATGCAACAACTGGAGCAGGTCTCACTCCTGGGACATGCACAGTTGGAAGGATAGTTGCTGTTGGATTCCTGTTTACAGTATAAGAACATTAGCTCATTCCTATCTACTTTTTTTTCTTGGTGAATGGAGAGGCCTTCTCTCATTGGCACAATTTAGGGCCAATTTGGGTACAAGTGTGTTGCATTGAGAATATTTCCAGTCCATGAATATGAATCCAATTGCTCATGCTTCTTATATTTCAGCCTGGCCCAGCACAGTTAAATACAATTTCCTGAGCCCAGCCAGGCCAGGGCCCATAGGCCCAATTTGGGTAGAGCAACCATAGTGGCTTAGTAAACTCTGTTCAACTCAACTCAGGACTCAGTCCATTGCATTTCTATGCTAATCAATCCATATTCGATCTATCTTCTCATGAATTCAGGGAGAAGCAAAGAGCTTACTTGGTAGAATTAATGTACTTAAGTATCTGATATCCGGCCATGTCTCCAACTTCTGAGAACGGGAAAACACCAGCATCAAAAGGCACCCCCTTCTCGGATTCATCAATCAAGATTAACCCTTTAGCTTTAGCAGCTTCCACTACTAGTTTCTTTATGCGTCTAGACACCATCGGATCCGTATCCATGCATACAACTATTTTTCCTGCAACCTTCTTTGAATCTAAAGATCCTGGGTAGCAGTTGCTGCACATGTTTCAAACATAATAACTCAAACTGTTTCAATTTGAAGTTTCATCTGAACAATTTGTTGCAGAAATACCTTGCTTCTGATGAAGGAGTAGAGACAGCAGCAAGAGCTCCTGCAAATGCCAGGGGATATGTTTTTGAACGAGTCAGATTGGAGAAATTTATTGCAGATCCCTGTGGAAGAGAAGTCATCACACAAAAATAAATCAATTAGAAACATGCTTAAGCTTAAACAAAATGAAGCAGTATTGTCAGACTCGAACCGACCCGGTTTTGACGATAGAGCGATTCAACCGGTGGTTAAACTGGTAAACCATGGTTGGACCAACCCCAGTGTTTGAACCACTTCCTGGGTCCTTTTTTTTTCACTGTTTCTATCTATGGACAGAGCGATCTAACTGATGGTTAAACCGGTAAAACCATGACCCGATTTCTGAGTTGATAGGAAGAGCATAGTAACTCACTTGGAAAGGTTGCCCATTGCCCAAAACAACAGTGGATCGGAAGTCTCTATCAATATTTGAAGCAGCAACAGTGAAGATCCAAGGGGCTGAGTTTACAACAGTGTATGGATCAGGCCCATCATTCCCTCCAGAGCAAACAACCATGACACCCATCTGGTTGGCATGGAATGCGCCAATGGCTATGGGGTCGTTGAGGAAATCGGACTGGAAAATTGAACTCATGCCTATAGAGATTGAGATTATATCAACTCCATCCTTGATTGCATCATCAATGGCCTTCAGTATGGTGGATCCAGAGCAACCCCCTAATGAGCAAGCCTTGTACATTGCAATCCGGCTGGAAGGGGAGCCACCTCTGGCTGTCCCATGAGCAAGCCCATAGTAGCTTGCGTTAGCAACAGCCACACCTCCGGCTGTGGATGCAGTGTGGGTGCCGTGGCCGACCGAGTCCCTCGGTGAACCAATTGGTCGAATCACATGTGTCCTGTTTCCGCGAGATTTCGACCCGGTTGAGTCGCTGAAGATGGTGTAGTATCTGGCCCCTATCAACTTCCTGCAATTTACAACAGAAAACAGAAGTATTAGAGATGGTTTTGGGTCATTGGGTCATGTAAATAGGGATGATCATGGTCTGGGCCGGGCGCTTTTGAGCTATAAAAAAAATGGCCTGGGCCAGTCCTGGGCCTGATAATATATGTTTGAGCCTGGGCTGGCCCATGTAAGTTAATAAAATAATAGTTTTATAAAATTCAATTTTTAATATCTGTATATTAATATATTATACCACACACATATACATACATACATACATACATACATACTTTGTATGTTAAATTTCTGCCCAGACTTGGTCTGCATTATGTACGGGAATGGTGAGGTTTTGGGCCGTGTCGGGCCTGGAATAGAAATGACTTCCCGGGCCTGAAAATTTGTGGGCCAGACAGGCCGGGCCAGGTCATAAATTTTAACAGTATCAGATTCGATTTAACAGCCTGGATGATGTCCCTCTAGAGTCTAGATCAGTGAAAATGGGTGTATGTAGTCCTTTTACCATCTCAGTGGTTCACCCTAGCTACATATTCTACTGTTGAATCATCTTCCCTAATTTTTTGTTTCTAGAATTGTTGAAATAAACAAGGGTGAAGAAAAGAATGTGGGGGAAAAGACTATTGAATTAAAACTGACCAGTGACCCCACAGTATTTGTGAATTTTAGATTAGAAAGAAAACAAAAAGATCACCTGTTGCAGTTGGATTTCTTGAAGTCAGATCCTTCCATGCAGACTCCTTTCCACCTTGAAGGTATCTCCCCCATCCCCTCATCGTTGAAACTTGGTGATTCTGGCCATATTCCTTGTCCAACACAATCAATTATAAGAAACTAAGTTAGGTTTTTCTATTAATAATCTAAGGCTCATTGAAGAAATAATTTGAGGATGTCAAACTGCCCAACCAAGGCCCAGTCCAAACTATTTGACACATTTGGTTTCAAATTGATCAGTTGGGCTCAAGAAGGTCCATTGGGCCCAATGTATTAAAAATAGACTTAAACTAACGGGTTTGACTATGATGCCGGAAAAACTCGTAACCAATGAATCAATCCAGATCCAGCCCATGTAAAATTTCAGGTAGGTAGGATCAATATGGACTCTTGTTGGGCTAGGCATGGGCCCCATTTCAGGCCCAGACCCAACCCAAGGACAGGTTGGATCATTTTGGGCTTGGGTTGGGCCTGCCGGAGTTGTACCCCTAAAATGTACAAGGATTACAATCCAATTATTTTGTCAGTTCTATCAATTCACAGGCTATAGACCTCTCAGTACACTGAACTCAGTTTGCTTTACCCAGCTAACTTTTAGCTTTATGTTCCATTCAAATCAAATTCACGACAAGCCTATGTAAAGATCATATTCTGACGTTTTGGATCAAGTGTGGTTGGCCTGAACTTAGCTAGACTCAGCTTCTTATTGTAAGGAAACCCCGCAATCCACATTCCACTGACCAAAATGAGTCGGGTTTCTTAAAATAATAAGCTGTACCTAAACAGAGACCTGATTTGTTGAGCTATGATTGAAACCAAAAAAATGTCAAAGATTTGGGACCCAGTTAGGCTCAGTTGTGCAAATACATACAAAATAATACAAAACATAAGGTTCTGCACTCATATTTGCATTTATACTCCTTTCAAACTGAGTCTGAGCTTTTGGTTCACTGGCTCAGCCCGTATGAGTCAACAACAGTTTGCAAACACATTAGCAGTGTTTTTAACCCACGGTTGACTCAGCCGGTTAAACTGTTTGAACTATTAAGATTTTGATTTGGTTTTAATAAAATCCAGAAATTGGTAAAAAAAATCATTGATCTGGTCAAAAAATTGTTTAACCTGGGTGATTGGACCATTGACCCATTTGATCCAGTGATTGGATTACGAGTTACCCCCTAAATATGTGTGTAAATTTCCAGAAGCTATAACTTTATATTCCAATGTTTGATTGGGGTGTTTTTTTTTTTTTTTATTTTGATAAATTTTCGAGATATATGCATCCTAAGGCGCTTAAACCCTCTTTTAGCTTCAAGTCACAAATTCTAATATTTTTTTTATAAATAAAAAATTAAATTAAAAAATATATATTAAATATAAAGTAATATATATAGAACATAAGTATATATTATTCATTAATAAAATACATATTTATACATACATATACATACATACATATATATAGGCCTGGAAAGTCACTGGTGACCGATGACCCAGAGGCAAAAACGATTTGCACATTAGTAAAGCCATCCCGGTTACAGGACAAATGGTTTCAAAACAGATGCTTGGCCCATTTGAAAAGGAAAAAAAAATAAAAAATCAACAGTAAAAAACCAGGGTACCCACTACCCGGTCATTCTTCCTGTTCATTGGATCGATCATCCGAGTCAATAACGGTTTAGAAAGGTTGACGAGTGATGACCGTCCATACATCTGCATTGTGTGGAGCTTACTCCATGTTACCCTTTTTACGGATAAATCTCACTAAACCCATAGGATCATGTGCTTGTTTGGGCTTTTCTACTCCTACCCTTTATCCTGTGGGACCCACAGACAAGATGAGCTGTTCCACCGGAAAACCAGAGCCTCTAAAAGTAAGGCAGATGAATCCAATGGGGTCCACAAATCATGGCCCTTAATCAAGGGCAAGGCAGATGAATCCAATCCATCCCCATCACAAGCATTCAGATCACTGGTTGCTTGATTGTCATTAATCAAGAAAATCATGTGGCCCTCCTCTGACCATGCTTCAAAGTCACTCATCAAAAATCAAAGGTTTGGAGTTTCACACAGTCACTCCATGGATAAGACACTGGTAAGTGCAAACCCAGAACATCGGATTAGAATTTCAAGGTGTTTTCACTCTTTCCTTGTTATTTCAGACACAGAAATGCAGAAAGAAGATTTAAGTTTGGGAAGGAAAATTAAAAGAAGGGGAAAGAAAAAGATGGAGATACCTGTGTCTATAATTCCTATTATTACATCACTGGAAGCTTGTGGGTATTTGATGCCTGATCTGATGCCGGATTCTGAGTCCAGGAAATCCCAGGAACGTGTGGTGTGGAGTTGAAGAACTGGGTCAGGGAAGACTGATACAACCTTCTCATGGCCTGGTTCAAAAATTTCACCAACAATGTGATTACATTTCTGCAAACTGTATCCTAATTGATCAAGTACCACCCAAACCCAATAAGCATCAGATTTGATTTTCACATGCTTGAACAGTGATCCTTGGATGAACCCATTTTGTGTTACCAAGAATCAATTTTTCTTTTCATTTTCAATTGAGAATAAGAGCTGGGTGCTGATTGAACAACACCTAATTATTCTTGCTCTTCAATTAATAAAAGGCTAAATTTACACCTAAAAGAAGGAAAATCAAATGATTATTTGTGTTGCTAACTTGTACCACATCATTCACGGGTGCTTACAATAATTGAAATTTTTTCTATTTACAAGTATTGCACAGCTGTCACTTTGGACCCCGACAGAGAGAGAGAGAGAGAGAGAAGACGAAGAAGAAGAAGAAGAAGAAGAAGATACCAGATAATGAAGAAGCTTCCTTCTCTGTGAGCATGGCAGAGAAACCCTTGATAGCATGATTATAACTGTGAATTAGAGACAATCTCTGGCTCTCCTCACTGCATAATTAATTAATAAAACCACCCAGAATCTCAAATTCTTGTTTCTATGTTTCTTGCAACAGAATATTAATTTTCATGGAGCGTTAAAATGTGATGAAATTCAAAGAGAACAATGATAACCTTGGAATAATTGATGACAATAATTGCAGGTGGGCTAATTCTGCAGCAGGTTCAGTATCACTTTCTCCATTGCTCTTTGAAGAACTCCCCATGTACACAATATAGGACTGAAATAGGAAGAGAATTAATAGATGCCAGAAATGTTTATAATTCAATCTAACAATTCTGAAAATTGAACTTGGCTTATTACCTGTGGCTTCTGTGCTGCAGTAGTCCCATAGAGAAGAAGACTGGAGGCTGTGACAAAGAAGAGAAGTTTCTGGATAGAAGCCATGATAGAAGACCTGAACTTCTGCAACTAGAGTGGGTACTGAGAGTAAAGTACATGAATGGATGGAATTGCCTCGGCAAGACTCCATTTGTAGGTGAGTTCCAAGACAGGGCTTTTTACACCAAGGGAGCTTGATTCATGAAGAGTAAAAGCATCTTTGATTCTCTTTGAGTTCCTTTATGTATGATTCCAGGGAACAATGAAGCTTATATAATAATAGCAAAGTCAAAATTACTACTACTACTACTTGCATCCACAATATCTAGTATATATTGGATTCACAATGAGTTACCAATAGATGCAGTCAAATGGACTGAAAAAGGTAAAATCTTATTGGATTGTTTAATTAAAAATGATTCATTTAGGATCCTTAAAGCATCAATTTCTTTATAGATGAAATATTTTATGGAATACCAAGGGGAAGGGGTCAGTGGGTTTATTATCTAATTCTAACCATGGAGTAGAAAAGTAATAAGAAGCGACAAATCTTTAGTCAGTGACAGAAGACTAACCAGTGGAATGTTACTCATATTGCATACATAAAAGATAAAATAATTAAATAAAAAATAGCTATTGTTTATTATAATGTGGCAATTCAATAAGGAAACCTCACATGTGAAGGCACTTCTAACCATTGGATCAGTATCAGATGATACTTATCCTACTAAAATATATTCCCTCATCTGATAGCCCTCACTAAATGAGATCCTAGATCTAATAAATACCATTAATATCCACCTGAATCCTTCAGTGGACTGTTCTCACTGTTCTGTTGGATATGTATATATATATATTGGATAATCTAATTCCTCACCATATGATTGATAGATTTCCTTTTGTACCTAGAATGAGATGTAATCCATCAAGTAACCCAATAGAGGTAGTTCTTTTTTGTCCTTCCATAAATGAAAAAGGTCCACTGTGAAAGAACATCAATTGAGTATTGGTAACACTTGCATTAGGAGAGAAAAAGTCCACTGTGTTATAATGGTACAAGGCCTATCATATCATACAAATTTCCCAATAAAAGAATAGAATATGAAGTTGTTAATGGGTGGTGTTTCCACTGTTAGAGACACCTGACAAGGTTATGATTGTACATGGAGACACTCACAATATTGAGAAATACATTAAGCCAAATGGGTCCTATATTATTTATATCAAATACTACGTGTTGTTAATTCATGCATGCTTTTGCTCTTTAATTAAAAATACCATTTCTTTTTAAAGTAAGCAATAGAGACTTTGATTGCAAGTAACCAATTTGTCCTTTGGCCCTGCAACTGAATGGAGAAGCTTCATATGCTTCACTACCCATGTGCATTTTACTTTAGTTCTTTCTTCTCTTTTTCTTTCCTTCTTTATACATTAATTAATTTGTAGCTAGTTAATCTGTCCTTTATTCCTTTTGTTTCTTTCCCACTTTTACTTTCGGTTTCTGTTTGAGGTCAGGACATTTATACAAGGTGGCGTTTGATCAAATTTACCCTTTTTTTCTTTGGGTACTCGTTTGATCCAATTTACAGGATTCTAGGACTTTGATGAAAGAGTTGAGACTTGAGAGGTAACCTAAGCCAAAAGGAGGTGAAGTGTCAACCATACTCATCAATGCTACACGTGATTAAAGGTCAATAAGGAACCGTGCATCTACCCCCCCCCCCCTCTTTCTCTGTGTGTGTGTGTGGATTCATGGATTGTACAGAGTGCATTTCTTGCAAACAAAGTGAGGAATTAATGCCAAAACCGAGAAACATTATGTAATTCAATTTGAAACAAATGTTTTAAAATGTTCAACCATTGCGATATGGAAAATTGGAAATTATTCAACAATTAATTGAACTTGTTACTCCAATTTGTTGAAAATATGCATATATTGATATACTCAAATACACTTAGAAACACCGATAATTTTTTTTTTATATAAAATTAAAAAGTTTAAAAATGTAGCCTCAACCCATTTATCATTATAAGATTAATAAAAAATAAAAAAAAACATGGGTCACAGTGATATAACATACACACTGGTAATCAGCTTTAGGTATCGGGCGTATTGATAGTTTAATCCTTGCCTATATGTATAAGGGATCGTTTGGTATCACACTGCAGACTGCACCTCTTATTTCTAGCATTTTTGTTCAAAATTAATTTCGTTTGGTGGTGTCCTCTTAGAGCATCTCTTACCTCTTTTATTTGGATTTTTGTGTGACCATTTAGCTGTCAACCAATGACCATTTTTATTTAATAATTAATAATTTATGAATATTTATTAATTAATATTTTAATAAAATAGTTAGTTACTTAAAGTTTATTAAATTTACTAACTATTTAATGTTTTTATTTAATAATTTTTAATTTTATTTAATGATTTAACTAAATTGTTTTATTCTATTTTTAAATAATCAAACCATTTATAATGATTCAAATTCATCCATAGGGATAAAACTATAAAATAGTCGTTCTTTAGAGTTTAGAACCTGGGATCTCAGAATTCTCTGCATTTAGGCTTCAGAAAAACTAGAAAACAAAATTTAATTTCTACATTTTCATAACTATTTTGTTATTCAGAACTGAAAGTTTAGTATTACCGAATGGCACTAAGATAGGGTGTAACTTGAATGGACCCTTACCCAAGCCCGGACCAATCCAGTCTGCAATTTTTCACAGGTTGGATTAAAGTTTTGGTTCTAAGACTGATCCAAGGTCCAAAACCCAAGATCAGATTGGCACCCCACATCACCTCCCACCTGTGTATTGGAAACATCTCCCCATCATTGATGTTCCTAGTGCATGCAGATCTGTGCATGTAGGGTGCCAACCTGATCTCCCAAAACCCTATGCTTTCCTATTTTCTGGGATGAGCCTAGGTAGTCCAAGTTCGACCTTAGCCAATCTTAACCCAACATATATTTAGATGAGTATATGCATATTTTCATACATGCATCCATCTATGCAAAATATGTAAATTTCATACTTAGATTTAAACTATTGATAGATTCATGCAATTTTGTATGTTGAACCTAGCTAATCGGCCCACCTAAACCTTATTGACCAATCCGAGCCCAACCCAAGTATGCCAAATTTCAGTTTGGGTTGGGTCCAGTTTGGATAGATCAGACTTGACTTCGGGCTCGGGCCTTAATTCAAATTCTTAGAATTCCCTAATTCCAAGCATGTCATGTTTTTGTTAGGGGTGCAACTTGGGCAGATAGGATTTGGTTGAAATTGAACGTCAAACCAGGCCCAACCCTAAAGTGCAAATCTCAGGCTTAGGCGTGGCCTAACAGATGGTTAAGCCCAAGTTTTTTTAACTCAGGCCCAACTCGAGCTTAACCCAACACAGCTTAGGTTAGGCTCAGGATTGGGTTGGATCATGTGGACGAGTTGATCGGGTTTAAAAGAATTTATAGATATATTTTTGCATAACTCTTTTATTATTAATTGAAAATATATACAATTTTCATTTATTAATGTAAATATACATATTATACACATACAAAACTCAGGTTGTATTGGGCTATTTGCTTTGGCACATGCCTTATGCGACAATATTATCTTTTACAAGCAACCACGAATCCTATGTGATGATGGGATATATCTATACTACTTTAAAATGTACAATGACATTCCTGGAATTTTCTAAGGACAATATTTACCCCTTTATATTTAAATGTAATGATAAAAAATGAGGGCAAATAGGGTAATCGGATCTTGATATTAAATGAGTTGAAAAGAGGTAATTTGAAGATATTCAATGCATTCAATTCTCTCTCATTAAATCCAATATTTAAGTTATTAACTTGCATTCATGTTCATTGAATCATATATTTAAGTCATTTTTATTTCTTCTCATCATTAAGTTCTATTAATAAAATCCATACTTAATAAATTAATAATTCCAATAACTTAAAAGCTTATATACTTTTAAAATCTACCTAGAAAAAATAGTATTTTTATCTAAGTGGTGGTAAGAAATTAAATCATTTTGGGTCAAATGGGTTAATCCATGTGGCCATGATTAAATAATAAAATTAAAAAATAGATAAAATAAAAAAATAGAAATTAAAAAAAAATTAGAACATTTTTAGCATACATATTAAACAATAATAAGTATGATAAATAAGAAATGTTTTTATTAATTGTGAAAATGGAATATAAAATTTAAAACCAATTGAAAATAAAAATATTCTCCTGTTCTCTCTCATTAAATTCTATATTTAAGATATATTTTTCTCATCATTAAATTCTTGTAATTAAATCCACAATATTAATTTTAATAGAACAAAAATAAATATTTTGAAAAGTAATTTGAAAACAAAACTATTTTCTTCCCTTCTAGTGGTGGGCAAGCAATTCGACCATTTGGGGTCAAATGGATTAATAAATAATGTCATCATTAAATAATAAAAAACTAAAATAAATAACTATAAAATGTAATAAGTACTTTTATTAATGATAAAAATGGAATGCCAATTTCAAAATCTACCTAGAAATTAAATGATGTCATAGTCAAATAATAAAATTTTTAATAATAAAAAATACAAAGAATCACATAAATAAAAAAAAGATAGAGAAAATTTTTGGCACATATCTAATGTTATATATTTATTAAAAAATAAAATATTGGGTACATTTCCAATATTGTATATTCATTATATTGAACAAAAATAAGTTTTATACATAAGAAATAATTTTATCAATGATGAAAATGTGATACAAAATTTAATGTCAATCTAGAAATGAAACAATTTTTATTTTTAGATGGTGGATTAGTGGTTTGAATAAAATGATACCATAGACAAACAAAAATTAAGTGTGATAAATAAAAAATATTTTATATAATATAAATAAAATATATAATTTAAAGGGAAAATTATAGTCAAAGTCGGTTGTATATTTAAAATTAGGTTGCAGGTTGGTGCAGAAATTAACAAAACTCTAACAATTGGCTCTTCATTTCAAATTATAAAAACCCCCACCGTGTCATTAGAGGCTTATGTGGTTGTTGCCAACATGGGACTTTTATTCCATGTTGGACACAACAAAAAAAATTATATTGAAAATAGGTTTTTAGTTTCTCTCCCACTCCCTCTGTCTCTCGATCTCCCTCCCTTCTCTCTC